ATCGCACGGGCAGCCCGTGCGTTGGCCAATTTTTTTTTTTTTTGTGTCCCAACGATTTTTAGCACTTTGGCCAGCTTCAGGAAAGAAGACATCAAAACCAGAGCATACATAAAATAACGTTAAAAAGGGAAGAAAAAGTTAACGCTCATTATTAGTGGCAGGTAAAACGAAGCAAGCAAAACAATATTAAAACTAACGCTCATTATTAGCACACGGGTGATTTCGATAAAACTCATCCGCCTCGGTATCCGAAGAACTGGAATTCGCATCCTTTTCTTTCGCGCAGTGCTCACTGACCACTGGCTTTACATCTATCTCGTCTAAAAAAAACATAAAAACTATTCACTTTTTTTTTAAACTGAGAACACTCATGTTGCAAATAAATTTGAATAAAAAAGGGTAGAAGCAAGAAATATGCTAAGTGTAACTGCATTACAGACAGCGCATGAATGGCCAGCACTGATAAATGAAGTAGCGGGTCCCAGTGCATGCTGCAACAATCCTTCGAAGGAGGAACTGCCTCTCGGCCCACAGGCTTATTTCAGCAGAAAACAACAATGTGGGAAAGAATAAAATAAGAGCGATAAATGTGAACAGTGCTATTTCGCACCAAACGGGACATCGTCAGAACGGCCCGCTGTAGTTTACCACAAGCATAGCAGAGAAAAGAGCGAACAAACCGGATTCCGTAAGCAGCCTCTTTTGTGCGTCCTGGGCCCGACAGAGAGAGAGAGATATAGCACGATCAGGGATATGCTAGCAAGCTGTTCCAGCAGCATCGAAAACTGTGTCAGAAAAAAAAGATCCATGCCTCTTAGCAGTTCAGTCAAAATCAAAATGCTCGACCACCGTTTTCTGAGCGAACAACGCATCAAATACTCACTGTCATAAACAGCCACGTTTCCCTCCTCCTCTGGCAAGCAAGCTGCTCGCAACACCGACATATCGCCCCAAACACCGGTACAAAAGTCCGTCTAATTTTAACTACCTTAATTAATTTTGTTCCCGCAATCGTCATACTGACGAGATCCAGTTGTGGTAATGGAAAGAAATGTATACGACTTAGTGGACCGAAACATTTCTTACCAATTTATAAAATTATTAGTTTTTTCCCCTCC